TACTAAACTCCTGAAATTTCCTCAGTGATAGAAGTACCTTTCTTTTTTTTTTTAACTTTTATTTAATGAATATAAATTTCCAAAGTACAGCTTTCCAAAGTACAATGGCTTTTTCCTCCCATAACTTCCCTCCTACCTGCAACCCTTCCCTCTCTCGCTCCCTCTCCCTTTCCATTCACATCAAGATTCATTTTCAATTATCTTTATATACAGAAGATCATATATTAAGTAAAGCATATATTAAGTAAAGATATATAACATATATTAAGTAAAGTAAGCATATATTAAGTAAAGATTTCAACAGTTTGCACCCACACAGAAACACAAAGTGTAAAATACTGTTTGAGTACTAGTTATAGCATTAAATCACAATGTACAGCACATTTAGGACAGAGATCCTAATGAGGAGTAAGTGCACAGTGACTCCTGTTGTTGACTTAACAAATTGACACTCTTGATTATGGCGTCAGTAATCACCCTAGGCTCTTGTCATGAGTTGTCAACGCTATGGAGGTCTTTTGAGTTCACCGACTCTGATCTTATTTAGACAAGGTCACAGTAAAAGTAGAAGTTCCCTCCTCCCTTCAGAGAAAGGAGAATTACCTTTCTTATAGATGGTGGTCCCCCTGAATCACACTCAAGTTCATAATAATGAGATGACTTGGGATGAGATCCAGCAACTAGAAAAACCAACCACGTGATTAAAAAATTGGGACTTTGGGCCGACGCTGCAGCTCACTAGGCTAATCCTCCGCCTTGCGGTGCCGGCACACCAGGTTCTAGTCCCGGTCGGGGTGCCGGATTCTGTCCCGGTTGCCCCTCTTCCAGGCCAGCTCTCTGCTGTGGCCAGGGAGTGCAGTGGAGGATGGCCCAAATACTTGGGCCCTGCACCCCATGGGAGACCAGGAGAAGTACCTGGCTCCTGCCATTGGATCAGCGCGGTGTGCCGGCCGCAGCGCGCCAGCCGCAGCGGCCATTGGAGGGTGAACCAACGGCAAAAGAAGACCTTTCTCTCTGTCTCTCTCTCTCTCTCTCACTGTCCACTCTGCCTGTCAAAAAATTAAAAAAAAAAAAAAAATGGGACTTTGAGCCAAAAGATAACAGCACAACTTTGGAGAGAAAAAATGGGGCTGATGATTGAGGTCAATCACCTGGCCATCATTCAATCAATTGTGCTTATGTAATGAAACTCAAGTAAAAATGCTGGACACTGAAGTCTGGCTGAGCTCTCTGATTGGTGCTGGCGGTGTTCTGCTGTTCTGCATCCTCATTCCACAGAGTACACAGAAGTGCCACATTCAGAAACCTCCCAGATCTCACCATCTGGGTCTCTTCTTTTAGCTAGTACTGATTTGTACCCTTTGTGATAAAGATCCAATCCCAAATAAGGACTTTCTTGAGCTCTGTAACTAGTTCCATCAATTATCAAGCTAGAGGGGGTCATGAGAATCCTCAAATTTGTAGCCAACTGATCAAAGCAGGGGGCCAGGGAATACACGGTTGTGGCTAGTATCTGAAGTGCGGACAATCTGATGGGGAACTGTGCCCTTTACAGTGTGATGTCTGTTCTTACTGCAGGTTGTTAGTGACAGAAATGCATTATTTTACTTAATCTCGCTTTGCCTCATTTTCTGCAAAGTAAATAGAGATAATCAGAGCATCACACCTCATAAAACTTTTCTGATAAATGAGTTAATATAGGTAAAATACTTAGAATAGTTCCTAACACATATTAAATAAGTTTTTCAGTTTGTTATTTTTATTACAAAGATCCAGAGTTGGCTTATATAGAGATTTTTCTGCTGGAATCTAAATGAAAGAGAGGGGCATTGTCTCACAAAGGATCAAGTTGCTGCCTGTGATACCAGCATCTCATATGGCTGCAAGTTCAAATAAATCTTTAAAAATAAAATAAAATAAATGGCACTGAGAAAAGCCTAGCTCCCCAACATTAGTCAGAAAATGTTAACAAAACTAATCATCCAGATGATACTAATGTTACCCTGCTATTGCAACATTCCAAAGACAAATGACCACTGCTCATATCTGCATGATCTAGCTAAACTCGAGCAAGCCAGCTTGGACCAGTGCCAAGAAATTACATGTTTTTTGTAGCTCTGGAAATCATCACACCAGAGAGACTAGGAACCTTGCCCTGAATAATGAAGCAAACTATAGAAGAAGAGAAAACAAGAAGATTCTCACTTTTAGTTTGTCCAAACATCAGGTACAACACATGGTGAGCAAATGCTAAAAAGGTACATATATCACTTCTCATATCGCAGATGTAAGCTCTATCACTGTGCATTGAAATGTTTTTTCTCTTCTCATGGCTAATGGGAACCCCTTCCTCCAAAAAATTCATTCAATTGTCTTCCATTTTCCTGTAACTCAGAATAAACTGGAAGTATTCCAAATAGTTGTTGAGTCCAGAAATAAAGTTCTTACCAGAAAATTGCCTGGAGCTGTTTTCTAGTATTATGATTTAGTCCCTCTATTTCTGTCTTCTCTTGTTCACTTTCCCTTCCCAGCTACTTCTGTGTGAACTTTCAGAAAAGGCCAGGAATGTGCTCCCTGCCATATTTCATTCTAAGATCCTACTTATAAAATCCACTCTCAAAAACCAGGCGCCTTATCCTCATGTTATTAGAGAAAAAAAAAAAAGAAAATCAAAATTAAATGGTACTGATGGAAGGTTTTTCCTGGCAGTGCTGGCATAATTCCAAAGCTCATGTAACTGCCTCATCTCTCATCAGTAGACAGCCTGATTCGTGCAGGAACTATTAAAGAAAAATCCTCATAAAGAACTCAGCTTCTAAGATTTCTATGAAGCTCTCTCTTACAGTTTTCTCATACTTCCTCTAAATTGATAAAACAAAGAGTTAACCAGAAGCATTAGCCTGCTTATCCCAGTACCAGGATTAGAATCCAGGTTAGGGTAGACATTTGGCCTAGAGGTTAAGACACTCATATCCCATATTGGAGTGCCTGGGTTTGATTCTTGGTTAACTTCCTGCTAGTGCAGCTCCTGGGAGGCAGCAGCGATTGGGTTCCCACCTGGACTGAGTCCCCAGCTCCCGCCTCTGTCCTGGCCAGAGATAGGATAGGCATTTGTGGCATGAACCACCAGTTGGGATCTCTCTCTCCCTCTCACTATGCCTCTCAAATAAAATTTAAAAAGTATTTTTCAAAATCCAGGTGTTCCTTCTTAAAATTCAATGACCTCCATTTACATTGTATACAATACTTCTGAGGCCTGAAATTTTATAATTCTAGGTAAGAATTTAATTAGTAGTCTTTTCTACTATCAAATCAGTACTTCAATCAAGACAGCAAGTAAAACCACTGGCCTGGGGAGCAGAATGCTCACATTTAAGTCCTGGCTCTATTTAATGCATGGCAATAAATAAGTAATTTAATAAGCCAAGACTTGAAATTCCTCATCTGAAAACCAGGGACCCTAGTGGTCATTTTATGTTTAACTCATCTTAGCATCAGGAGCTACCCTAACATACCTTGAGAAAAGACTGCTTCCAATTTATTTTAAAGATTTATTTATTTGAAAGGCACTTAAAGATAGCAAGAGGGAAAGAGAGAAAGAGTAACTGGGTTCACTCCCCAAATGACTGCAATGGTCGTGACAGGGCCAAGCAGGAGACCGGAGCCAAGAACTCCATCTGGATCTTCCACAGGAGTGGAAGGGCTCTACGTACTTGGCCTACCTTCTGCTTTTACCCAGGCACATTAGCAGGGAGCTGGATCAGAAGCAGAGCAACCATGACTCTAACTGGCACTCCATTAAGAAATGCCAGTGTCGCAAGTGGCAGTTTAACCCACTGCGCCACAAAACTGGTGCCTGCTTCCAATCGTGTTGGTATCAAAAGAAGTTCTTAACCACAAATATAAATGGAGAAAAGCCTAAAAATATATTTTCCTTCCCTTAAATGCCCATACAATTAGGCATAGTCTTTCACTCAGAATTCTAAAGAACATGCTTTAGGGAAAAAAACAGTAGTCATGGTTCAGCAGTTTTAAATACAAAAAAGATCTAAAGTTTTCATTAAGTTCGCTGTGAGTCAGCAGCGTGATGCAAATGCTGAATGCAAGAATATCTAATCAAACAGCAACAACAGATACATGTGAGGTCAAGAACCAAGAAATTGACAATCTTATTGTAATGACTAAGCCACACTTGGGAGCCTGTGTCCAATTCCAGGATTTAAAAAAGGCATTAACAAAAATGTTTACAGGAAGAAAATCATGATGAGAAGGAGGGTAAGATAATATTTTCTTCAAAGAACTAGGGCAATCTAACCCAGAAAAGACAAGACTCATGAGAAAGCTCATTTGTATTTCTACCCAATCTTTGAATCATCTAAGACTCAGCAGAGCTGAGACTAAGTGGAAAGCTGCAGCAGAAAGGGGCTGCCTAATGCTCGGGGCTGGAGCTGTGGCATAGTGGGTAAAGCTGCTGCCTGCAGTGCTAGCATCCCATATGGGTGCTGGTTTGAGTCCCGGCTGCTCCACTTCCGAGCCAGCTCTCTCTTGGGCCCCTGCACCTGCGTGGGAAAACCCGGAGGAATCTCCTGGCTTTGGATTGGTGCAGTGCCGGTCATTGCAACCAACTGAGGAGTGACCCAGTGGATGGAGGATCTCTCTCTCTGCCTCTCCTTCTCTCTCTGTGTAACTCTTTCAAATAAAATAAATCTTAAAAGAAAAAAAAAGAACTAATGCTCTCTACTGCTGGAGATGAAGCAGCAGAAGCTAGGAGACTCAGATCCTGGAAGGAGTAGAAATTCAAACACATTATAACAAGGAACAACCCTGGGTTTGGAGAACTTTCTCCTATTCCCAGCATCGTAATGATAGCCAGGCTTATTCAGTGACTTTATACAAAGTAGTTTCAATAATTTTCTCTTTATTAAGCATTTCATATTCATGTCCTTCTCTCTTCTCCGAACCTTCTGACAAATAGGATTGACAAGCAGACTGCCTATTACCTTCTGAGGACTTCCATGCCTTCCACAGGTCTTCCACGCTGATGAGCTTATCCTCACCATGGAAGGTGCTGTGTTTCACTGTTGGGTCATGGTAATTGAGGTCTTCCCTCAGGAACTGCAAGGAAAAAGCACACAAGTCACAAGAGGTAGCTGGGAGCCAGTCCATCAAGATCTCCAAACAGGTCATCAGCCTCCAGTTAACCAGACATAGCACATTCCAACTACTCAATCCACAGGTGTTATCACTCATGTATTCCTCCCATGTACTTATGTCTTAGCTGCCAAGTATACTACCTCTTCTTAGACGTTTCATTTGAAAAAACACATATGAATTAGAAATTCCTTCCTGAGGGCAGTGCTGTGGCATAGCGGGTGAAGCCGCTGCCTGCAGTGCCAGCATCCCACAGGGGTGCTGGTGCAAGACCTGGCTGCTCCGCTTCCGATGTACCTCTCTGCAATGGCCTAGGAAAGCAGTGGAAGATGGCCCAAGTCCTTGGGCTCCTGCACCCACGTGGGAGACCTGGAAGAATCTCCTGGCTCCTAGCTTCATATTGGCGCAATTCCAACCAGTGTGGCCATCTGGGGAGTGAACCAGTAGATGGAAGACCTCTCCCTCTCTGCCTCTGCCTCTCTGTAACTCTGCCTTTCAAATAAAGAAAATTTTAAAAAAATAAATTCATTCCTCCTTCATTTGTTAATTATGGAAAGATAATTAAAATGACAGCTGAAATTCAGTATACTAGAAGAGGGAAGGAAGAAATATCAGGAAGAAATAAGGAAGAATCAGCCTGGAACTCCACATGGGTCTTCCACATGAGTGGCAGGGGCCCAAGTACTTGGGGCATCTTCTGCTGCCTTCCCAGGCTCATTAGCAGAGAGCTGGATCAGAAGCGGAGTAGCCAGGACTCAACCTGGCATCCATATGGTTAGCCGGCATGGCAGGGAGTGACTTAACCCACTATGTCACAGCACTGGCCCCTTAGATTAGTATTCTAAACCAAGATGTTGGGCTTAGCCCAAACTTTTCTGTTGCACTACATTTTTTGTCCTTTCAGACCTGGAATTTTTTCCCCATAATATGTTTTTGGTTTTTTTTGTTGTTGTTTTTGGTTTTTTTTTTTTGGACAGGCAGAGTGGACAGTGAGAGAGAGAGAGACAGAGAGAAAGGTCTTCCTTTTGCCGTTGGCTCACGCTCCAATGGCCACCACAGCCGGCACGCTGCGGCCGGCGCATTGCGCTGATCCAAAGCCAGAAGCCAGGTGCTTATCGTGGTCTCCCATGTGGGTGCAGGGCCCAAAGACTTGGGCCATCCTCCACTGCACTCCCAGGCCATAGCAGAGAGCTGGCCTGGAAGAGGGGCAACCAGGACAGAATCCGGCGCCCCAACCAGGACTAGAACCCGGTGTGCCGGCACCACAAGGCAGAGGATTAGCCTATTGAGCCACAGCACCGGCCCATAATGTGCTTTTATAAGAAAGAAGAAAAACAGGGTCCAGTGCCGTGGCATAACTGGTAAAGCCACTGCCTGCAATGTCAGCATCCCATATGGATGGCAGTTCTAGTCCCGGCTGCTCCTCTACCAATCCAGCTCACTGCTATGGCCTGGGAAAGCAGTGGAAGATGGCCCAAGGCTTTGGGCCCCTGCAACCACGTGAGAGACCCAGAAGAGGCTCCTGGCTCCTGGCTTTGGGTCGGCTTAACTCCAGGTGTTGTGGCCATCTGGGGAGCAAACCAGATGGAAGATCTCTTTCTCTCTCTCTGGTTCTGCCCCTCTGTAACTCCGCCTTTCAAATAAATAAATAAATAAATCATTAAAAAAAGAAAGAAGAAAAACAAAAGAAATCACATCTTTTAGAAACTGTTGATTAACTTCAAAGATAATCATTCAGCTTGGTCCTTAATCTTATTAATATATCCTGGACTGAACATTGATCACTGGTTTTCACAGATAGTCAAACATCAAAGAACTGCAATTCTGATCAATTTCTCAGAAGAACACATTTTAATAGGATTTTCAGGAACTGTCCTACCCATATTCTTATCCTCAGGGTCCAATAAAGCGTCTGACCCAGAGTAACATCACTAACTGTTGACTAAATAAGTAGCAAATCCCAGATCCCCTAGATACATCACAGCAATCTAAGAGGGCCAGTCTAAGGGCAGAAATGTATTCATTTACTCAACAGATATTTAATGAAGATTTCTCTGTACCAAGTAGTATACTGGGTTTTAGCAGTACAGTTAGTAGTAAACAAACAAAATAGGCAAAGTAATATATAAAGCAATGTTTTTATTGAGCCATCAATAGATATCACGTGCAGACCTCAGGAGCAAAAATACTAAAATCAGCAAGGAAGAGGATTTTCTGTCATTACCAGATAACTCTAGCAAACTATCTGATAAGAGACAGCAGCTGCTTAGGGAACCAACAAGAAACAGACTGCACTTAATAGCAAAGCCTGCTCACTGGGGCATGTGGGGAGCAGAGAAAGTAATGTGGAAAGTAATCACAAGGCAGATCTGCACAGCAGCCCACATACAGGCCCTACTGGTGCCACACAGCACATGAAAGAGGAGGGTGAGAAAACAAGGCCAAATGAGGAACATGGACAGACGGAAGTCTACCTGAAGGAAGGGCCTGATGCTGAATGGAATTTAAAAAACAAAGAAGTGAGGCTGTAACAATCAGGTCTAACAGGAATATGTTATAAATCTAAGGAGTTCAGAACCTGTAGAAACAGGCCACTTATCTCCTGTGACTTTTGGGCAAGCTACTCAGCCTCCCAGAGCTTATAATGCCCTCAAGTTGAAAGCTAAGCAACCCTTTGATTTGGGTGTGATAAGGATTAAATTAAGCATATTTGCAGAAGGCATAAACTGACTTTGCATCTATTTTTATTAGCCTGCAGAACATTGTTGTTGAACCTATATTTAAAAATCAGAAACATTTTTTTTGTTTTGTTTTGTTTTTGTTTTTGTTTTTGTTTTTTTTTTGACAGGCAGAGTGGACAGTGAGAGAGAGAGACAGAGAGAAAGGTCTTCCTTTGCCATTGGTTCACCCTCCAATGGCCGCCGCGGCCAGCGCGCTGTGGCCGGCGCACCACACTGATCCGATGGCAGGAGCCAGGAGCCAGGTGCTTTTCCTGGTCTCCCATGGGGTGCAGGGCCCAAGCACCTGGGCCATCCTCCACTGCACTCCCTGGCCACAGCAGAGAGCTGGCCTGGAAGAGGGGCAACCGGGACAGAATCCGGCGCCCCGACCGGGACTAGAACCCGGTGTGCCAGCGCCGCTAGGCGGAGGATTAGCCTAGTGAGCCACGGCGCCGGCCCTAAAAATCAGAAACATTTTTTAAAAGTCCACTTTTACAGGTTATCATAAACCAACAAGAAGATCTAAATACTAAGCTCAAGTGACTTTAGAATTTCACACAGGAAAGGCTTAAGGGCTACAATTTGATTGGAAAGAGAGGATAGTGGCTAAGGAACACGTCATGAGGTTTTCTGCATAGCAAACATAGTTGTTTTTTGTTTTGTTTTGTTTTTTAAATTTGAGAGGCAGAGAGACACACAGAGGTCCCACATTCTACTTCACTACCCAAATGCCCACAACAGCAGAGTTTCAGCCAGGCTGAAGCTGAGAAGCAAAAACTCAAGCCAAGTCACTCGTGTAAATGACAGGGACCAACCACTTGAGCCATCATCTGCTGCCTTCTAGAGTATGCAATAGCAGAAAGCCAGAATCAGGAGAGGAACTGGGATTTGAACACAGGCACTCCCATGTGGGTATCTTAACTGGCATCTTACCACTAAGCCAAATGCCTGATTCAAGCATGTCACTTTTACATATATTACTTATTACAAATTAACTTTCAAATGCAACATTTTGTGAAGATGTTTTTATTCCCAATTCACTTAAAATTTAGAAAAATACCAGTTGTCCATATCAAAGAACACAAATAATTTGGGGCAGCTAGCGGTGGAATGAGTTAGTGCTAAGGGATCTAACGAAGGCTTCAAGTCTCTACCCCTTGGCACCACTTGTGGGTTCACAGATCTACACTCAACAACCTGCCAGAGCTGGGCAGCAGCTGCCCACTTCTGAAGAACCACATATCCTCTAGTTCACCGCATCTGCCATCACTCACAAATTTATGCATACGCACTTCTACCCATATTACTAAATTATAATATTCTTGGCCACTCAGAAAGATAAAGTTTATATTTCATGATATACACAAAAGCACTCCGTAAGTTTTAAGGCATAACTCAAAAGTTAGCTGTGATTGTTATTGGAAGGAAAGTAAGATAAAGACAAGAACAAGAAAAGATTCCTGATAGAAAATGTCCTCTTCCATGCTTCCAGTTTCCATGCATACCTTAATTAGTCTTATTACATGTCTCTCTCTCTCCTGCCAAACCACATACCCCTGATAGAAACTCCCAGTTACCCAGCTAGAAATATAGCATATAAGAATGTTATACTCAGCTACGTCTCTGATGTTCAATATACTTGAGGTAGACATCACCACATCTTACTCTCCACAGTGACTCTATCCAACTAATAACTAACATCTGATTTGAGACAAAGTTTAAAAGGAAAAAGAGGTGGCCGGCGCCGCGGCTCACTAGGCTAATCCTCCGCCTTGCGGCGCCGGCACACCGGGTTCTAGTCCCGGTCGGGGCGCCGGATTCTCTCCCGGTTGCCCCTCTTCCAGGCCAGCTCTCTGCTGTGGCCAGGGAGTGCAGTGGAGGATGGCCCAGGTGCTTGGGCCCTGCACCCCATGGGAGACTAGGATAAGTACCTGGCTCTTGCCATCGGATCGGCGCGGTGCGCTGGTTGCAGCGCGCTAGCCGCGGCGGCCATTGAAGGGTGAACCAACGGCAAAGGAAGACCTTTCTCTCTCTCTCTCTCTCTCTCTCTCTCACTGTCCACTCCTGCCTGTCAAAAAAATAAAAAATAAAAATAAAAATAAAGGAAAAAGAGGTAAAAACAAAACAAAAACAGATCATTCTTGGTTCCCACAACATAGGTTTACTGTTTTAGACTCAAAATAAGCACTTCCTCCACCAGAAAGAAATAACGAGGCTACCTAAAATTCTTGCCCCAGTGATCAT